CTTGTGAGGAGGCCAGGAAATACTGGACTAGAATTCGCATATGGTTGGAAAAAATGACAAAGAAACATATAGATTTGAAACCAGAGATTTTTTTATTGGGAATCTTACCTGATACATATAATAAAAAATTAAAATATTTGATTGTAAATGTATTAACAGCGGCTAGGATTGTATTTGCTAAAAATTGGAAGAGTGAGAAAATACCATTAGAGGAAGAAATTATTAAGAAAATACTGGAATGTGCTGAAATGAGTAGATTGACATTTGAAATTAGAGAACAAGAAGATAAACAATTTTATGAAGTTTGGGATCTTTTTTATCAATGGTTAGATAATACAATATAATAATAGAATATTTAGAAACCTAGGAAATAACGAATATACATTTTTTTTGGTTTTGAAAACATTTTTAGAATATTTTATTAAGATAGACTTGGTATGATTTTACGATCTGTTATAAAATAAATTAACTAAATTATAGTTATCTCACTTAAGTATGAATTAGTAAAATTATAGTCAAATGATTGTTTAATAATGATATTAGGATATATAATTGTTGATTGATAATATGAGTTATTATGTAACATAATTATTATGATAACTATGAAATGGATGCACAAAAAGGAGTGGTAAACCAACCGATACACTGTCTGTAAATTTATGAAGAATGATGATGTTTTTATGTTATGTTTTATGTGTTTTTGTTTGTTGTTAAAATCAATAAAACTTTTACTAAATAAAAAATAAAAAAATAAGGCCCTGCCTTATTTTCTAAGAAACATGGCAGAAGGTAAGACCAATGGGGGGAAAGGGAAATCCACCCTGGGGTGGCTTGCTGATGTTGGTGGGAAAGTTGGTCCCATATTCCAGAGCAGCTCCAGGATGACCAAAGGGCCAGTCTTGTGACTACTGCAGCTCTGGAATATGGGACTGACTTTCCCACCAATGTCAGCAAGCCACCGTCAGTCAAAATTCATATTAGTGGTCCCTGGGATTTAAAATTATGAGTTTGGTGGTCCCTGAGGTCCAACAGGTTGGTGACCCCTGTTGTAGAATTGCTCTCCCCCCCTCCCCCCCAAACTCTTTGGGACTACAAATACGTGGGAATAGAATCCCTGCCCATGCTGATCCACTGGGATGGGATGAATGGCGTGGATCTCCTGAAAGTGCTGGATTGCAGTCTCCATAGGGGTCTTCTTTGTAGAGTCCCTTGAGACAGGACATTGTAAAAAAAAATTGGGGGGTATGGAGAGAAACTCCAGAGAGAGACCTGATCTTACGGTCTCTCTTACCCAGGCATCTGAGGTGGTCCTTTCCCATTGGTTGGCAAAAAGGGCCAACTGATCTCCAATGGGAGGGTCAAGTTGAAGTTCATTTTGAGCAACAAAAGGATTTACTCCCTGCGTCATGAAAAGGTCTCTTAGGTTGGACTCCCCGTCTGCTTCTGTCTCTGAAACCCATCCTTTCTGATTGTTGTCCCTGACGAAAATCAAAGGGCCTCTGAGACCTTTGAAAATAGTTTCCTTGGTAGGAGGTTTGAAAGGGGGTCCTCCAAAAGGATTGGGATGGGCGGATGTCAGACCTCCGAAAAAGGGAAGGTAATATTTTCCTTCTGTCCTGTGTTTCTACTAGGACCAGATCCAGGGTGGATCCGAACAATTTGTTTCCATCAAATGGAGCTGAAGCCAGCTTACATTTATGCTTGGTGTCTGCTTGCCAATGGCGGAGCCATAGCAGACGACGGGCTGTTACCTGTGAAGCTATGGCTCTAGATGAGAACTTAACTGCATTCAGTGTTGCGTTAGCGGAAAATTCAGTGGCTGCCACTAGTTTTGCTACGTCCTGGTGTGCTCTGGCGTTGGTGGCTGGAATAGCCACCTCAGGGAGGTTCGTGTGAAAAAGGATGCAGCTGTGGCCGCCTTAATAGCCCGGGCATCTGCCTGGTGTGCCCTACAGAGTTCACGTTCTACCCTCTTCTCTTCTGGTTTCAAAGCGTCCTCTGCTTTGCTTGGTATGGCAGAGGAAGCTGCTAGGGCCACCACTGGGTCATCTACCAAGGGAGCCTGGAGCGACCCTGCTAGATCTGGGGCAAAGTTATAGAACTTTCTATCATAGCTCGTGGGGCTGGGATAGGTGCCTGTGGAGGTCCACTGCCGTTGGACCATATCTACAAACATTTTGGGAACTGGGATGACCTCTGCCTCGGTAACAGGTTGTGAAAAAATTAAGTCATCATACTTCCCCGAGGCCAATGGAGGCTCAGAGGTAGTCGTCAGGTTGTCAAGGCGTGCAGTAGCTTTAGCCTTGAATAACAAGGATTTAAAGAGATGTGGACGGAACAACCCTGTGAATGTCAGCTGGTCTGGGGTTATCCCTTCATCTTCTGACATATCTTTATCTAGCTGATCATCTGTATCTGAGGGAGATGAATCAGTGTCCTGGGATGACACAGAAGAGTAAGGATCCTGTTCCTCTATGAGGTCTCCCCTGAGTTGTATGGGTTGAGGGGGCAGCTGAAGGTCTGGAATATTTGCCCTCTGGTGTGGTACCTGGAAATTAGGGAAATCCACCCTGTGTTGCAGGGGTTGAGGATGTCCCTGATACTGGGGAGGGACTGTCAGTTGATATCTTGCCTGGCAGGTCTGTTGTACTCCCGCCGTGATTCCTTGTTTGATTGCCTTTGATATCCAAAGCCTCATCTGTGGGGTAATGTCCTGAGGTAGGACTTCCTTTGTGTGGAGTCCTGCTGCAGTTGGGGTGAACATAGCCTCTGCTAATCTGGGTCTCTTGTTTTGTTGAGTCATCTGCACCAATGGTGACATAGGTTGAGCCGTGTTGCTGATTACAATCTCTGGGGCCTGAAGGTCAAGGGCCTCAGGTACTCCCATTGGAGCCCCAGCTTGGGCTGTCAGGAAGGCATTGCCCCTGGAGGACACTGACAGATCAAGAGGAGGGGTTGGAACAGGACAGGGAGAAAGTACTGTAACAATTGGAGAAACTGGCTGTCTGTTTCTCTTAGCTTCTCGGAGATACTTTTCCAGTTGTTTCTCCAGTGCCTTTTGTCACCTTTTCGCATCCTTCTCCGCAGCCTTGGAGGACTTTTTGAAACACTGGGCCATAGTCTGGTTCCTTGTCATCGCTCTTCTGGCTGCTGCTCTGGGTCCTGATGTACTGGAACCAACTGAGCTTTCTCCTTCCATTGCACACCTGGAAACAGGTGTGTTTGAAAGAAATGAGGCCTTAAAAAAAGGAAATAACAAATAAAGCGGTTAACACATCTAGAGAGTCTGCACCGGAGTGATTCCCGAACTTATTATTTGGCGCCTTGGAAAAGGTGAGTTGTGCTGTAAAAAAGGGGGGGAAAGGGAGAGAAATTAAAAAAAAAAATTCTCAAGATAAAAGAAGATTGGTATTGACCTGACCAGGCTAAGGGATCAGGGTTTTTTTTTAATTTAAATCCTGATTTCCCATAAATGGGTTGGAAATGGATTTTGAATGTGCAGGCGGTCAAGGGCCTAGGCGCTGTTATACTGCTTTTAAGATGCCAGTTGTCCAGGAGCTGGTCACGATTGCCAACTCTCCTGCAGCTTTCACGCTCTTGGATAACGTGGATAGCCTCAAACACACACAGTTAGGCTGTCAAGGACGAGCCCGCAGTGGGAAGCCCCGAAATCAAGGTTTCAGCCTCTGGGTAAAGTGCCTGCTGTTTTTTGGTGCAAAATTTGAAAATGGCGAAAATAAAATGGCGCCGGCTGTTACTTTGTTTTTGTCATGAAACAACGCATGGCATTGGCAGTTAATAAGACTCGGCAGAAGCTATTAAGACATGGGAGCTCCTAGAAATGAACCGGGCCGAGTAGAGGGATCGTGCTGCCGCGTTTCCCTCTCAGTTCAGTTTTTGTTTAAAAAAGGTATAATTAAAAAAATAGAAAAAACAGGGGAAGTCTCTGCTTTTAGCGGCTTCTGCGGCGAGATCGAGATGCCGCTCATCGCACCGCTATGGCCCTTCATTAAGGACCTGCTGAAACAGACAGCCAGATGGTTAGAAACAGCGTCGGAGTCAGCTTTTAAAGAAAAAAGATCCCTTTCCTGCTGGAAAGGAATCGCAGGCAGCCAGGGGCTGCGTTCTCATCGTGGATGATCACTCCAGTGAAAATATAGTTCCGAGATCGTAGTCAAGGAAAACACAACTAGCTCGAACGACAGGCTAAGTTAAAACTGGAGACGCTGGGACAGCAGCAGGGAGGGGTGTCCTCAGATCTTTGCTCAGCCTATTGAACAGCAGAAGGAAGCACTTCCCTGACCTGGATGCTCGGAACAGCTCACTGGAAAATAATGGCATAGCATCAGAAGCACTATAAAAACAAGGCAAAGTTCATAATGTATTATTGGGACCTGAGTCAGGTAGTATTGTATCCTGCATTTTATTTGTTCAACAAATAATGGAGTCCAGGACTTATGACAGACATGCATTCAGGTTGGAATTTGACTAAACCCCACCCATTACTCCCAGAGAGGCAGCTTCAGCTAACAAGATTTCTGTTTGGCTTGGTCTAGCAAAGAACATTCTAGAGAATGAAATACAATGCAGTATGCTGGTCTAAGACCATCATAAAGATTTGATTAAATTTAAATACGATGCATCCCTCTGCCAAGAAAAAACTATTAGCTAATTAGACTTCATTATGGGAAAAATAACCAGATTTCTGGCCAAGTAATGTTCTTCTCCTCCCAGACTGACTCTATGTGTTTTGAATAGATATGCAAAGAAAAAACAAAACTCTACTTATGTAGAGGAAACCTGAAGAAGCGGGGTACATACAGATTCTCATTTTTCCTCTACTAGTGGCCTCCAAATGTATCGGGGCTTCATCTCCTAGCATTCCCAACCAATTTAGCCCACTTACAGGCACTATCATCCAAAACATCTAGAAGGGAATACCCCCATTGTAAGGAAAGCCAGACACAGGTTATCATTTAGCCTAAACTCTTCGTTCTCACCTGGGCACCATTGTCATGACTCAGCTGACAGGCAGTATCAATTTTGGCCTTGGACTTCTCCTTGGGAGCTGCTTTCAGTGCTGCCATGGTAGACAAGAAATTGTCTTCCTCTGGTTCAGGTTTCAGCTCTGGTTCCTTTTTAACCTTCTTGCCCTTGATGGCAGCCCGAGTTTGGGCAGCTGCTTTACGCTTTGGAGGCATGGTTCTTGTCCAATCTTAATTGTTATCTGAAAAAAATAAATAAAACGTGCTGTGGACATTGCCCTAATAAACAAATCAATTCCTGCCATCACCTTTATTATTATCAGTTCATATTAATTACTGCAGAATTAAGGCCTCTTCATTGAAGATTATGCACCACAATCTACTATTCTGCTTCAACTAGGCTGGTCAGGTGTAAGCAGTGGTGGGATTCAATTGTTTTTACTACCGGTTCTGTGGGCATGGCTTGGTGAGCGTGGCAGGGGAAGGATACTGTAAAATCTCCAGTCAGAGGTGGTATTTGCTGGTTCTCTGAACTACTCAAAATTTCCGCTACCAGTTCTCCAGAACTGGTCAGAACCTGCTGAATACCACCTCTGGGTGTAAGCCAGTTGATAGCTTTAGCCCCACTCCTAGTCCAGCATTTTAACCACCACGCCACACTCATTTTCAGTTCTATGTATCTAAAGACATAAATTGTACAAAGACAGGGACTTAATTGTTTAATTAAATAAGAAAGGAAAACTGTGCCAGCTAAAATCTTATGTTAGTAGCAAAATAAATGCAAAATTCCAGGACAAAGGCAGATCTGGAAAAAAAAAAAAAGAACAGTGATCATTCTGCTGGTTGGTTAATAGATTAAAAAATACTGGAAATGATGCTGAGCCCTTTGGCAACAACTTTGGTACAATCTCAATAAAATTTGGAAGGCTCACCGTTTTAACAGCTCAAGTTAGTTTGGAGATTAGTGCTAAGCAATACCCAGCAATACCCACTGCCATGGCAGTGAGCTTCTATATGCTGTCTTGGCTTGCACATCATTCTGATTCAAATTTCATTTTTCCTTGAACATATTTATAAATCTTAGTGAGAAACAGGAGACTATCAGAAGAGCCTCAGTGGCACAGTGGTTAGAGTGCTGTACTGGAGGCCACTTCTGCTGACTATTGGCTGCCTGCAATTTGGCAGTTCAAATCCCACCAGGATCAAGGTTGACTCAGCGTTCCATCCTTCTGAGGTGGGTAAAATGAGCACCCAGATTGTTGGGGGCAAGAGGCTGACTCTGTAAAACCACTTAGAGAGAGCTGTGAAGCACTATAAAGCAGTACATAACTCTGCTATTGCTATTATAGCATAAACTAAAAGTGTAAATATGATGTGCTGAAAAACCAGATAAGTCCTGTGAACAGCAGCACACACAGTGACTCTAAGAAAAAAACATTTCTTTGTAGGTTGTGTTTTTCCAAGGTATCTACTAAATCAGGGGTCCCCAACCACCGGTCCGCGGACCGGTACCGGTCCGTGGAACAAGTCCTACCGGGCCGCTGGTTTGCTGGGCGCCGCCATCTTTTTTTGATGAAAAAGTGCTTCCGGTGAGCTTTTCCGGGTAGAAAGCGATTTCTACCCGGAAAAGCTCACCGGAAGCGCTGGCGCCGCTATCTTTTTTTGATGAAAAAGTGCTTCCGGTGACGTCACCGGAAGCACTTTTTCATCAAAAAAAGATGGCGGCGCCCAGCTGATGCCGGTACCGGGCCGCGGCGCCCAGCTGATGCCGGTACCGGGCCGCGGCATAAAAAAGGTTGGGGATCACTGTACTAAATTACTAGATAATAATTAAAGGGAAGCTGGAGAAAGGTTCTGCCTTTGAAGTCATATTTGAAAATTACAATTCTTTTTTTATTATTTTTATAACAAATTTTATTCAGTTTTTCACATTAAAAACAAAAATCTCTTTTTAGTGGACAACATATTTCCGGGTCATCACCTTTACATACAAATATGACAGCAATTATACATTCATATATGCATACTTAATTCTATTATTACCTTTTCCATTCCAAATTTTCAGTAAGGAGAGAAACAAACACATTAATTCTAGCCTCTTTCATTAATCTCAATCAAAACATATTTTTGTTTTATTTCAATTATTTCAAATATAATCCTTTAATATTTATTTTAAAAATAAAGATAAACAATATGTGTTTGAATAATAATAATAATAATAATAATAATAATAATAATAATAATAATAATAATAATAATAAT